CCAATACAATCATAGCCAATACAACCATAGCCAATGAAACTATAGCCAATACAACCATAGCCAATACAACCATAGCCAATACAACCATAGCCAATACAATCATAGCCAATACAATCATAGCCAATACAACCATAGCCAATACAACCATAGACAATACAACCATAGCCAATACAATTATAGCCAATACAACCATAACCAATACAACCATAACCAATGAAACTATAGCCAATACAACCATAGCCAATACAATCATAGCCAATACAATCATAGCCAATACAACCATAACCAATACAACCATAACCAATGAAACTATAGCCAATACAACCATAGCCAATACAACCATAGCCAATACAATCATAGCCAATACAACCATAGCCAATACAATCATAGCCAATACAACCATAGCCAATACAACCATAGCCAATACAACCATATCCAATACAACCATAACCAATACAACCATAACCAATGAAACTATAGCCAATACAATCATAGCCAATACAACCATAGCCAATACAATCATAGCCAATACAACCATAGCCAATACAACCAAAGCCAATACAACCAAAGCCAATACAATACAACCATAGCCAATACAATCATAACCAATACAATCATAACCAATACAACCATAGCCAATACAACCATACCCAATACAACCATAGACAATACAACCATAGCCAATACAATTATAGCCAATACAACCATAGACAATACAACCATAGCCAATACAACCATAGCCAATACAATTATAGCCAATACAATCATAGCCAATACAACCATAGCCAATACAATCATAGCCAATACAATCATAGCCAATACAACCATAGCCAATGAAACTATAGCCAATACAACCATAGACAATACAACCATAGCCAATACAATTATAGCCAATACAACCATAGACAATACAACCATAGCCAATACAACCATAGCCAATACAACCATAGCCAATAGAATCATAGCCAATACAACCATAGCCAATACAATCATAGCCAATACAATCATAGCCAATACAACCATAGCCAATGAAACTATAGCCAATACAACCATAGCCAATACAATCATAGCCAATAAAATCATAGCCAATACAACCATAGCCAATACAACCTTACCCAGTACAACCATAGACAATACAATCATAACCAATACAATCATAACCAATACAACCATAGCCAATACAACCATACCCAATACAACCATAGACAATACAATTATAGCCAATACAATCATAGCCAATACAACCATAGCCAATACAATCATAGCCAATACAATCATAACCAATACAATCATAACCAATACAACCATAGTCAATACAACCATACCCAATACAACCATAGACAATACAACCATAGCCAATACAATCATAGCCAATACAATCATAGCCAATACAACCATAGCCAATGAAACTATAGCCAATACAACCATAGCCAATACAATCATAACCAATACAATCATAACCAATACAACCATACCCAATACAACCATAGACAATACAACCATAGACAATACAACCATAGACAATACAACCATAGCCAATACAATTATAGCCAATACAACCATAGACAATACAATTATAGCCAATACAACCATAGCCAATACAATCATAGCCAATACAATCATAGCCAATACAACCATAGCCAATGAAACTATAGCCAATACAACCATAGCCAATACAATCATAACCAATACAATCATAACCAATACAACCATAGCCAATACAACCATACCCAATACAACCATAGACAATACAACCATAGACAATACAACCATAGACAATACAACCATAGCCAATACAACCATAGCCAATACAATTATAGCCAATACAATCATAGCCAATACAACCATAGCCAATACAACCATAGCCAATGAAAATATAGCCAATACAACCATAGCCAATACAATCATAGCCAATAAAATCATAGCCAATACAACCATAGCCAATACAATCATAGCCAATACAACCATAGCCAATGAAACTATAGCCAATACAACCATAGCCAATACAACCATAGCCAATACAACCATAGCCAATACAACCATAGCCAATACAATCATAGCCAATACAATCATAGCCAATACAACCATAGCCAATACAACCATAGACAATACAACCATAGCCAATACAACCATACCCAATACAACCATAGACAATACAACCATAGACAATACAACCATAGCCAATACAACCATAGACAATACAACCATAGACAATACAACCATAGCCAATACAACCATAGACAATACAATTATAGCCAATACAATCATAGCCAATACAACCATAGCCAATACAATCATAGCCAATACAACCATAGCCAATGAAACTATAGCCAATACAACCATAGCCAATACAATCATAACCAATACAATCATAACCAATACAACCATAGCCAATACAACCATACCCAATACAACCATAGACAATACAACCATAGACAATACAACCATAGACAATACAATCATAGCCAATAAAATCATAGCCAATACAACCATAGCCAATACAACCATACCCAATACAACCATAGCCAATACAACCATAGCCATACAATTATAGCCAATACAATCATAGCCAATACAACCATAGCCAATACAATCATAACCAATACAATCATAACCAATACAACCATAGCCAATACAACCATACCCAATACAACCATAGACAATACAACCATAGCCAATACAATTATAGCCAATACAACCATAGACAATACAACCATAGCCAATACAACCATAGCCAATACAATTATAGCCAATACAATCATAGCCAATACAACCATAGCCAATACAATCATAGCCAATACAATCATAGCCAATACAACCATAGCCAATGAAACTATAGCCAATACAACCATAGACAATACAACCATAGCCAATACAATTATAGCCAATACAACCAGAGACAATACAACCATAGCCAATACAACCATAGCCAATACAACCATAGCCAATAGAATCATAGCCAATACAACCATAGCCAATACAATCATAGCCAATACAATCATAGCCAATACAACCATAGCCAATGAAACTATAGCCAATACAACCATAGCCAATACAATCATAGCCAATAAAATCATAGCCAATACAACCATAGCCAATACAACCATACCCAGTACAACCATAGACAATACAATCATAACCAATACAATCATAACCAATACAACCATAGCCAATACAACCATACCCAATACAACCATAGACAATACAATTATAGCCAATACAATCATAGCCAATACAACCATAGCCAATACAATCATAGCCAATACAATCATAACCAATACAATCATAACCAATACAACCATAGCCAATACAACCATACCCAATACAACCATAGACAATACAACCATAGACAATACAACCATAGACAATACAACCATAGACAATACAACCATAGCCATTACAACCATAGCCAATACAATTATAGCCAATACAATCATAGCCAATACAACCATAGCCAATACAATCATAGCCAATACAATCATAGCCAATACAACCATAGCCAATGAAACTATAGCCAATACAACCATAGCCAATACAATCATAACCAATACAATCATAACCAATACAACCATAGCCAATACAACCATACCCAATACAACCATAGACAATACAACCATAGACAATACAACCATAGCCAATACAATTATAGCCAATACAACCATAGACAATACAATTATAGCCAATACAACCATAGCCAATACAACCATAGCCAATACAATCATAGCCAATACAATCATAGCCAATACAACCATAGCCAATGAAACTATAGCCAATACAACCATAGCCAATACAATCATAACCAATACAATCATAACCAATACAACCATAGCCAATACAACCATACCCAATACAACCATAGACAATACAACCATAGACAATACAACCATAGCCAATACAACCATAGCCAATACAATTATAGCCAATACAATCATAGCCAATACAACCATAGCCAATACAATCATAGCCAATACAATCATAGCCAATACAACCATAGCCAATGAAACTATAGCCAATACAACCATAGCCAATACAATCATAGCCAATAAAATCATAGCCAATACAACCATAGCCAATACAATCATAGCCAATACAACCATAGCCAATGAAACTATAGCCAATACAACCATAGCCAATACAACCATAGCCAATACAACCATAGCCAATACAATCATAGCCAATACAATCATAGCCAATACAACCATAGCCAATACAACCATAGACAATACAACCATAGCCAATACAACCATAGCCAATACAATAATAGCCAATACAACCATAACCAATACAACCATAACCAATGAAACTATAGCCAATACAACCATAGCCAATACAATCATAGCCAATACAATCATAGCCAATACAACCATAACCAATGAAACTATAGCCAATACAACCATAGCCAATACAATCATAGCCAATACAACCATAGCCAATACAATCATAGCCAATACAACCATAGCCAATACAACCATAGCCAATACAACCATAGCCAATACAACCATAACCAATACAACCATAACCAATGAAACTATAGCCAATACAATCATAGCCAATAAAATCATAGCCAATACAACCATAGCCAATACAATCATAGCCAATACAACCATAGCCAATACAACCAATGCCAATACAACCAAAGCCAATACAATACAACCATAGACAACCCCCCCCCCCCCACCCCCCACCCCCACCCCCCATTTTGATCCCTGCTCCTGAATGACAAACTGGACATTTTGATCAGTGTAGGAAACCCTCCTGGACAGAGTGAAAATGTGGACATGTCCAGGTAACAGAGGTCACCTTGTCCGAGAAACCACCAAATACAAAGATGAGTGGCCAACCTCTGAGCCACGGCAGCACACGAAAGCTGTCTCAAAAAAAAAAATGATAAAAACTGCCGTCTAACTGAAGGAACGTCTGAGTCAGCCGGGATAACTGCGCTGGACTCGGACAAACACGCACATAGCAGGCTGTACTCACCGGGGTTCTGCATTTCTCAGGGACATTTTCGGATGCAGACGGCGCAGAGAACCGAACCAGAACCACTCAGAATCCCGCTGCAACACAGCAAATGTTTTTAAAAGGTAATCCTAGGAAGTTCTAAATTGCATATGGCCACCTCTGCCTTTGATTTTGTTGTTTTGTACTTGTAACATTGGCACCAAACTAAAGGCTTGTTAGCTAAAAAGTTTGCTTAACAATTGAGTTGCTGGATCCTAGCAGACAGTTACCGAAACACGTCCTTTCAAAATAAGACAGGCTCAAATTAAGGTCTGTGCTATCGACAGTTATCCTTGTCTAAATGCGGTGAAACCATCAGCTGCGCTGTGAACCTGTCCCTGTCACCTGAGATCTGTGGCTTCGGGTCTGCAAGGCAGCGGAGTCCCTGGAACAACATCACCATGTCAACGCTTCCGGCTTCAGAGACGACCACGTTTCTTTTAATTATATAGATGTGTGGCAAGTAGGGGTTGTACGAACCAGTCGACTAGTCGACTAGTCGACTTCACGGCTCTGTAGTGACTTTTTATGCCAGTCATCAACTAGTCGCTGTCATGTGATAATGACTGACAAGATGCAGTCCTCGGAAAAGACAGCAGGTGATGAGCCCCTGCGCGTCTGGATCGAGGCGGAGGCAACGCGCTGTGCGGTACTGACACCGGCGGTAAAACGGACATTTAACCAAACTGTGACCTTTTCCCTCTTGCAATTTAACCTTCCCCTCACCCCCATCCTAATCTTGACCAGTTTGTGCATGCAAAGCTCTGATCGTTGACGTGCGCTCCAGACATTGCGTCCTGAGCACCGCCAAATCAGGTGTCACCACCTCAAAAACAAATTAAACACGCGATCGTTCATGTCGGCTCATTTCCTTTCATGTTTTCTGTCTGTTATTTGTGCCTGATGCGTTTCGCTGCTGCGGAGCGAGGCTCTTCACCTGTTTTGTTCTCCGGTGATGCACCCCCAAGATTCCACTATCTCCGCTCCGCTCCGGCATGAACTCCGCAGCAAAAACGGTCCCGTTGTAGTCGGCCGGCGAGCAGCGGCACTCCGCTGTTTTTGCGGTCGGTAGATCTTTTAGAACTGCAGTTCAAAGGTAACTCATAAGGTGAATATATATGAACCCAGGTAGCAGTTTCTCTTTAGGATTGAGAGGAGATGCAGGAAGATAATAAACAGGCAGGACAGAAAAATAGTCAAATAAAAACAAGTTAGTTTTTGTACCTGCTGGTTGCAACAAACAGACACCATTGAAGGTAATCAGAAGTGAGGAACAGAAAATGAAATAATTATTTTAATGTTTAGAGCAGCAGGAAAGGCTGCAGGCGCATCAGTGAGTTTGCGGCTGCTGCGCAGGGGGAGGGGGGAGAGGACTGAAGCAGGATGCAGAAACTACCGTCGTTAAAAGAGATGTGTTAACTTAGAACATGTGGGCGCAATTTTAATTGTCAAAAACTCCAGCGAACCTACCGACCGACCCCCCACCCCCCCACCCCCACCCCCGCTTCCGGCGTATGACGTCATCAACGACTAGTCGAAGTCGACTCGACTTTCATTACTTGACTGTCGACTTAAAAAAAAATAAAGTCATGCAGGCCCTAGTGGCAAGGTGGATAAACGAGGGCCCGGGCGGGATTCGATCCCCAGACTCCCGGGTGAGAGTCATACGCTCTAACCAGTCAGCCAAAGGGACATCCCCTTGGCCAAGTAGCCAGGGTGCATGATCTATTGGGACACTGTGACAGGACGCTCACACTGTCACAGCTGCACGAAAGGGTTAAGATAAATGACATCTCGAGTGCCAACAGTAATATCTTTTAACATACTGTGTCTACATTTGTTCTTAAAGGTTTAAAATAGCATGATCTAGAACCTTTCAGTGTTAGGATAAAGTCACACGATGCAGATTTATTAGATTTGTTAGTTTTATGGTTTCTTTTCTGTGCAGATTCCTCAGCGAGGATAATGTCCAGAACAGGTGGTGAGCCCCTGAAGTCAGGTGTAAACCAGACTAAAACCAGCACCTCGGTCCACTCAAACTGGTCTGCAGCAACATCAGAACAAGAAGCTCTCCAAATTCCAGCTGTCACCTTTGATCTGGGAAATGAGTGGGACGACTGGGAAGACTTTGATGAAGAAAACCTACTACATACAGCTGCAGCTTTGGTTCCTCAGTGTAGAACCAAACCAGAACCTCAGATCCAGCAGCGTGTTGATTACACGTCAGGTAGAGAAAACATTATGCTCACTAATCTCATCATTTTCACAGTGGTCCATAAATGGAGCACATTTGTCAGTAGTTATTTACATGAAACTCATGAAGCACCACCAGTAGCAGCTAAACATGGACCTTCCTGTACTACCAGACATCGGGATCATCAGGAATTGAATAATACATTATTTCTGCTGAAAGGGTTCAGTTCAGTTCCATTTGTTTATAAATTGCCAGTCCACAACAGATTTCCTCTCTGAAGGCTAAGCAAGAAGAGACAAGTCAAGTTCATACCATCTCCAGAGTCATGCCACCAGTTAGCCAAATGTACCCTTATACTGGACTGAACACAATCCTCCACCCTGATCAGCATCAAAGGGTGACCATGGAAATGCAGTCTCCTTTTGAACTGGAAGAAACCAGAACCAGGATGGACCGAACGAAGTCTGAGAGAACAGGATGGAGATAAACCCAGAAGGACAGGACCAGTCATCGTTTCTAAAACAGAGAGAACAAAGTTAATGGCAGCAACAACTGTAAATACAAAAACTGAGAGTAAAGTCAGCAGAGTCAGTATGTTCTTCAGCAGTCTGAGCCTATAGCAGCATAACTAAAGGGATGAGCTGGGATAGAATAGCATGAACTTTTTGATTTGGGGCACATTTGAGGTCATGAGGAAGCTGGTGAGCAGCATAGTAGCTAAAAGCAGCTTCACCCTGTTTGGTTCTGACCCGGAGAGATTTATATACTAGAAGTACTGGGAAATCTATTCTGTAGTTTACTGGTAACCAGTGTAGGGATCTAAGAACCGGAGTGATGTGCTCTGTTCTCTTGGTTCTTGTTAAGACTCTAGCAGCAGCATTCTGAACAAGCTGCAGTTGCTTCTCTGGGTCCTGTCTGGACATGAGACACCTGAGTCGTGCGGTTTGATGCAGATGATAAAACACTGATCTAGTTAATGTGACCAGTGAAGCTCAGGTCTGAATCAATTATGACACCAAGATTTCTGACCTGGGTCTTTGTCTTTATTCCCCTGGAGCCACGTTGAGCAATAACTTCCATTCTGATTTCCAAAGACAATAACTTCAGTCTTGTCTTTTTTTTAATTGGAGCAAGTCAAGGACTGCATCCAGTCACTGACTTGCTCCAAACGCTGACAGTGTAAAGCCTAAATTATACTTCTCCGTCTGCGTCGGGACGGATACACGCAACGCCATTATCAGTCCTTGAGAGCCTGCTGGAGAGCCCCGCAAGGACGGACGGAGTCGAGCTCTCTTTTCTAAACATCCGTCCGTCGAGACGGAAAACGCAAGCTTGTGATTGGTCAGGGCACCGCTGTTGTCTACACCACCGCCATTGCGCCCTCAAAAACAAAGAGCAGAGGATAACTAGCGGCAGACACGTAGCAGCTTGAAGAATACCTCACAAAAAAACTCTAAAAACATGAACGTTTGATTCCCCCGTGACTGGAGGAGTGAAAAGATACGTAGCAGGCATTTTATTTGTGGACGGAAATGACAGGAAACGTGGGTTTAGAGGTGGCGAGCGCATGAATAGGTGGAGGAGGGTGAGAGACAAATTTGTCTGTGTTAAAAAGTCTCTAATGTACAAAAAAACACAATATAAACACACTATCTTGGACCGATACATGACAGGATACCGCAGAACAGCGCTACGCCCTCTGCTGTCCTGGCGGGGAATTGCTGTGCAACACTCCCCAGGAGACGGAGACGTATGAGAGGAAAATGTCTCCGTGCGCGTGTCTCTCCCTTTTGGAGCTGACTGAGAAGTATAAATTAGGCTTGAGTCTAGAGGACCACAGTCACTAGGTGATAGAGCGTGGTAGGTGTGGGTGTCATCTGCATAACTATGGTAGGCGATGTTGTCTTTACTCTTGGCTGCACACGTACCAGCTCGTAGCTCGCCTGTCCTGAGGGACATGATCTGTTTCTCTGAGCAGAGGTTGTTCAGGAAACTATCCATTGCGTTGGATAGCTTATTAAAACATACACACCTAAAAATTCATGAAATCTCACTTTACATTTGTCATCTGTTGGCTTTCCACGCATCTCATGAGCACACAGACCGTCTCTGGGTCTCTGCTGTGTGTAGCATTCTTGTGATTTATTACTCTAGTATTATGATGATGAAGACAAGCTTATATGGGTTAATCTTTTGACCAGGCTGTCCCACTGGATCTTCACCAGTGTTTCTCAGCTGCTCACAAACCAAATGTCAGGGGACCACCATCACTACACCACTGAGGTGAGACCAGATCGCGCTTGATGCTAAAATAAAATGAAGTTATATGAAAATGTAAAATAACTTTATTTATTGTTGTCTACTTCGGTAACATCTTTTTTTTTTTGTGTGTGTGTTAGGTCCATTTCAGCAGCAGCAAGTTGTGAAATCAGGAAGTTTGATCCGTCTCCGGTCAGTCACACATTCACACCAAACAGATTAAGATGTATCTTTAACTGTTGTTGTCTCTCACACACTCACACATACGTGTGTGTGTGTGGATGTTATTTGTAGAACAAATGCAGTTTCCCCAAATCTTGTAAACAAAGTTGTCACTGCTTGGGGGGGGGGAGTGTATGGCAAATTTGCAATGGACGTTCAGGTCAAGTTCAGGTGTTCTCTTCAATCTACAACATACAATCCAGTATCAATCCAAGGTCTGTACTATTTATGTTGCTACCAAATCTATCCATTCACATACTCTGTTTTTCTTTAGCGTTGACTGGTGGCATGATCAACATGAAATCTGTAAATGAATTGCAAAAACCTTTGAGCATAAAATGTTTGTCAACCCACCCAGATGATATATACAGTATCCTGCCCGCATTCCTAACAGGCAAATCTTTGCAGGGCCGCTCTTACTGCAGTTGACCTTGCACCATGACCCTGGTGTGTTAATCCCACGGCATCTGATGGAGATTTGGGGCCCGACGAATGCCCTGAGGGGTTTACAGTTTAATTGCGCATACAGTGTTGCAAGCTTGTGATTGGTCAGGACACCGCTCTCGTCTAGAGCGCCACCATTGTGCCCTCAAAAACAAATAGAGCCGAGGATATCTAGCGGCAGACACGTAGCAGCTTGAAGAATACCTCGCGGAAAAACTCTAAAAAAATGAACGTTTTATTCTCCCATGACTGGAGGAGTGAAAAGATACGCAGTAAGCTTTTTTTTTTTGTGGACGAAAATGGCGGGAAACGTGGGTTTAGAGGTGGGGAGCGCATGAAGACGTGGAGGAGAGTGAGTGACAAATTTTTCCGTGTTAAAAAGTCTCTTAAATACAAAAAAACACGATATAAATACACTATCATGGACCGGATACATGACAGGATACCACAGAGCAGTGAAACGCTCTCCAGCGTGCGAACATCCCCCATGGCCAAATACCTTCCCTCAAGGTATGAAGAACGGGCACCGAAACAAGGCACCGTTTCATATGACGTGAATCTGTACTCAGTCGGTACTATGGAATTCGGTCGATGCCTTAAAAAGTTCCGAATTCGGTACCCATCCTTAATCATGCCAGCCTGGCCTCCAGACGTCCTCTGTTTAATTCTGCACAGAGAAAGAGTCTGGTAACTCATAGGCAGAGAGGTAAATGAGGGCAGACTAGGCAGCTCAAAAGTAACCAATCAGAAAAAAGACGGAAATGCAAACTGTACCGCGCGACGCTGTAGTTTTTTAGCTGTAGTAAAAAATGGCATCTGGCAGAGGTGTAAACATGGACGTAATTTTCACTTTAGAAGTGGGGGGGACACGGGGGGTATCTTTACAGTACACAATGGGAAACAGGCTTCAACACAAACGGTTGTTTTCTGCTTGGTCCTAGAGCTCAACCAGTGTCAATTTAATATAGCGTAATATTGTTTTTGGATGGTAAAAAGTGCAGGGGTCAAAACTTGACTTTGGAAAAAGTGGGGGGGACATGTCCCCCCCTGTCCCCCCCCAAAATTACGTCCATGGGTGTAGACATTTTTTTTTTCTTTAGAAGAAAGGCTTTTAGCGTCTCTACTTGTTGTTTTAAAGACATTCACGTCATTTAGAACAGAGGAAAGAGCCGCAGCGAACTCCACTTCAGTCGTCATGTTATTTATGACAAACTCAGTGTTGTCGTGTGTGACGTACAAGACGCACTGCTGATTGGCTCGGTTAGAATTCTCAGGGGGTGGGGTTATTTGAATAGGAGAGTTTCCAGACCCTTTCTCTGTGCAGAACTAAACAGAGGAGTCTGGCAGGCCAGGCTATAATCACAGGGCTGTGTGTTAACGACTGGAATTGTTCTGTGTGGCTCAGGATAAAGGTTAGGGCTCTTTTGCTGCTTTTCCTGACCGGGTGAGAGATATTGTTCCTGGTCCCCACTTTGCTGAATATAGGTGATCTGCTCGGTAACTCTCTTTTCCAGCAATCACATGCTGTTGTTCAGGGTAACTAGATAATGTTCCGGCTTTGGAGAAATCGGTTAGCCTGGCAAGCCAGACTAAATAAATGTATTATTTAGTCTGGCCACGATCCATTGACGGCTCTCGGTTGTGGGGCGGGTTCTACCGTTGTCTTTCAAATGATCTCCGCATTCCACTGGACAATGAATGTGACGTACTCTTGTTTCACTCTGTTGCATCATCCCACCCACCAGGCATATAGAGTGCCCTGATTGGCCCACAAAGCAGATAAAGCTCTGTGATTTGTTCACTAAGCAGATAGAGCACTATAATTGGCCCACCATTATGGACCAATCACAGCTCTTTATGTGTTTGAAACCCCTCTAGAGAGCTGTGATTGGCTAGCCAGAGTCCTGGTAGGAGCTGCAGAGGTTCCAATGGAGCATGCCTAGACCAAACTTTGCAAAGCAAGAATTTGGTCTAGTTCACTAGGCTAGAAATCGGAACCATCGGAGGGTGTTTCTCATAAGTGAACTGTTTGTTGTGTAAATCAGTGCAGAGGACAGGGCTCTGACTTGTTATTTGTGGGGTGTTGGGTTCGCATGGGGGTTGCAACAGCAGGCCGGTTGGTAGATCTGATTTACCTGTATCATCATTTGGCAGCTCTGTCTGCTCTCTTAGCAAGAGATGAGAGGCAAGTTGGTCTGTGCTCACCGCCACTTCCAATTTTTCTTTTTCCAGAAGTTTTGATCCTGCTTCTTTAGTGATGCATAAGTATTCAAGTTTCTGTTTAGCTTCATGGTCAAAAGCTTTTAAGAGCTTCTCAGAAGCACTTCCCTGAAGCTCAACCGTTTTCCTGTTTCCTAGATAAGGACCCCTCCAAAGGAAAAATGTTGTCAAAAAGAAAAGTAAATAAAAGTGATTTGGAAAAAAGAGAGAGCAGGAAAAATGTCATTAAACCAAATGCCAGTCTAAGGAAAACCCTTATTAAATCTGCATTATAATAAAGGATGAATCACAGCAGACAGAACCAATTTCAATTTACTAGAAGGAAAGCTTACAGGTAAATGAATCGATCCTCAAAAGTCGACAAAAGTCCAATGATCATAAATCTGTGATCCACCAGGCAAGTAACCTGAAGCAACTCTCTCTCTTCTACCACCACTCACTTAAAAGATTCGTTGTGTCTGTAATCACTTGTAAGTGTTGCAGAGAGGCTTTGACCTTGAGGTCAAAAGAGAGGATGGTTTCAAATGCTTGCTCACTGGTTTGGCCGGACCAGGAGTCAGCTGAAAACTAACTAGATCAAGAAGTAATTCCTGTTTTATCACCTTCCTTGTTTATAAATGTCGGCTAAGTCTGAGCTGAGCTGATTTACCGGTAATTTGAGTGTTGCGTGTCTTTAGACCCAAGCGTGGAGTGACTAACGCTGGGCGAGACTGGCACGCAATTTGATATAGGAGCTAGGTACGCAACGTGTCTGGGAGCGTGAGCGCACGGCGGGTCCAAATGTAAACATGACTGACTTACTAGAAGTCAGCAGGCTGGATGGCTAGGGCTGATCTGGTCAGAACAGGCTGAGTAATCAGGCTAGGGTTAGTCGGAACTCAGAACACGGTTCTGCGAGAAATGATGACTGAGTGAGCTGGTGTTGTGTGATACTTCCCTTTGTAGAGATGGCATGTGACGTAGGCCGGAAGCCTGGCACTGGGAATGCTGGGTAGTGGAGTTCTGCTGGCGGGAGTGAGTCGATCTCCCTCTGGATGGGGCTTGTGGGTGTCGTGAGAGAGCAGGCGTGACATGGCTGCCCTAGCCCGGATCCAGGCGAGGCGGCAGCGTCTGACCAAGGCCTGGGCCGCCAGGACCTCCGTCTCAGGTTTGTGGTGGTCAAAAAGGGGAGGTTGGAATCCGTAACATACCTCAAATGGCAAGAACCCCGTGGCCGAGGTAACGTGAAGGTTGTGGGACATCTCTGCCCACAAAAGACATTTGGGCCAGGTGGGTGGTTGGGAGGAGGCGAAGCATCGGAGGTCTCGGCCCAGTTGTTGATTCGTCCGCTCTGTCTGGCCATTCGTCTGGGGGTGGTAGCCAGAGGAGAGGCTGCTACTGGCAACCACCAGGCGACAGAATGCCTTCCAGAATTTGGACATGAATTGGGGTCCCCGATCCGAGACAATGTCCTGGGGGAACCCGTGGAGACGTACCACATGCTCCAGGAGAATCTCGGCTGTCTGCTTAGCAGTGGGCAGACCGGGGAGAGCCACTAGGTGGACAGCCTTGGAGAATCGGTCGACGATCATCAGTATGGTCTCGAGATGGTTGACAGGGTAACCCTGTGACAAAGTCTAGGCCGATGTGGGACCAAGGTCTATGTGGAACTGGGAGGAACTGTAAGTTCCCAGTGGAGGGTTGGTTCAGGGACTTTGAGTGGGCACAGATGGGGCATGCGGCCACATATTCCTGGACGTCCTTGCTCATGGAGGGCCACCAGAGAGTTCGCTGTAGAAACTGGAGGGTGCAGGTTCTTCCTTGGTGACCAGAGAGGCGAGAAGCATGCCCTCATGTTAGGGCCTCGGAGCGACAAGCGGTACGCCCATAGAGTCAGTTGGGAGGCGTATTGGCAGGCGCGGGGTCGTTGGGTAAGGCAGCCCGGATGGCGTCCTCCAATGGCCAGTGGAGGGCAGCAACAAACCTTTGAGTTGGCAAAATGGGAAGCGATTCTCTGATGGGGTGGACTGGGCGTAACGTCGAGAGAGAGCGTCAGCCTTCAAGTTCTTCGAAGCGGGGTGGTAAGCCAGGTGAAAATGGAAAGGTTCGAAAAACAGTGCCCAGCGAGCTTGACGGGGATGAAGTTGTTTGGCGGTCTGTATGTGAATAAGGTTTTGGTGATCCATCCAGATGGTAAATGGTTCTGTCACACCCAACAACCACTGCCGCCATTCCTCTAACGCCCATTTAATGGCTAGGAGCTCCCTGTCTCCCACTCCGTAATTCCTCTGAGTTGGAGAAAATTTACGGGAGATCACAAGAATGCTACACACAGCAGAGACCCAGAGACAGGCTATTGCATAAGCCAAAGGGCATCACCAAGTACTCCCAGTGGCCGGTCGGAGTGATGAAGGCATTCTTCCATTCGTCACCCTGTTTGATCCTGATTAGATTGTAGGCACTGTGCAGGTTCAACTTAGTGAAAATGGTGGATTGGGACACAGCGTCCAGGGCAGTGGTCATCAGAGGCAGTGGAGACGATCACAGACCGTGATCTTATTCAGGCCCCAATAATCGATGCAGGGTCGAAGGTCCCCTTCCTTCTTCTTCACATAAAAGAAACCCCCTTCCCCTGGCGGGGTGGAAGGGTGGATAAACCCGCGCTGGAGAGACTCTGAGAAACATCCATGGCCTGGGTCTCTGCCGGGGACAGGGAGAACAAGCGGCCCCAAGGTGGAGAGCTACCGGGCAGGAGTCAGATCTCCAGGTCGTATGAGTGATGAGGAGGCAGGATGGTGGTCGGACGTTTAGAGAAGACCTGGGCAAGGTCATGGTAACAGGAGGGGAACTGTGACAGATCGACATCCTCAGGAACAGGACGGTCATCGGAGGTGGGGTGACATGACACACCCCTGGTGAGTACCTGACCAGAGGACCAGGAGATCTGGGGGTTGTGGCATAGAAACCAGGAATGGCTCAGGATCAGTAGAGACATTGGAGCATTGACGATGAGGAACTGGAGGGTCTCCGAATGTTGGCGGACTTCCATACGGATATCGGCCGTCTCCTGGCGGATGGGGTATAGCTTGAGAGGGGTCCCGTCCACAG